CAGAGGTCCTGGGGGATTCTAGACCCAGTCAGGCAGGCAGCTGACATTACCATCACATATCTGTCCTGTTTCCCTTTCTGTTGCTATGCTAAAGCATTCATATCTAAAGCCACCTGGGGAGGAAACGATTTGTTTGGCTTCCAGGTCACACTTCATTCTGAGAAGTCCAAGCATGAAGTGGGGCTTTTCTCAGTTCACACAGAGTTACCTCCAACCAGAACTCACTCAGAGCCACAGGAATCCAGCAGGAGCCATGGAGGATGCTGCTTGCTGTCTCACTCAGGCTCGTGCTTAGCTAGCTTCCTTATACAGCCTACCTCACAGGGAATGCTGCTGCCCACCGTATGGATCCCTCCTGCATCAATTAACACTCAAGACAATCCCCACAGCGATGTACAGGTCAGTCTAATCCTAATTCTAAGGGTTTGGACCAATGCATCATATGTGATTCATGTTGTAAGATCATTTGGAAAGTGTTGCCATACACCCCCCAAATCTTCTGCTCTGCCAAAGACTGTGGCAGAGTGAACTCAGAGAGCCTAAAAAGCTGGGATGTGTTTCAGTTGGTAGAGTGCTCACCTGGCATGCATGAAGCACTGGGTTCCATTCCCCTGCACTGCAATTTGGGTGGTAATGTTGGTTTGTTAATCCAGAACTCTGAAGGTGGAGGAAGGTGGAGGCAGGAGAATCAGAGGTTCAGGGTCATCTTTAGCTACATAGGGAGTTGGAGGCTTGGAAGACACAAGACTAGGTCTGGAGAGGAAAAACTGACAGAGAAGAAAATAGAAATCATTTGTAATCCTGCCCCTCCTCCCACCACTTGCCTTTCTTTTGGGCTTTAGGGTACAGTGTGTGTGTGTGTGTGTGTGTGTGTGTGTGTGTGTGTGTGTGTGTGTGTAATTTAGAAAAAGGTGAGACAGAATCTCACAATGTAACTCAGGCTGACCTGAAACTCACTTCATAGCCCAGGTTGGCCTTAAACTTATGGCAGTCCTCCTGCCTCAGTGCTGATTCCAGGCATGAGCTCTCCACTGGGCTATAGAACTGGGAGCTTCACTGTGATCACTCTGGTGTCTTCCTTTATCATGATCCATGCTCTATCCTGCGTGAACCCAGTGACCACGGAGTTGATTCTGGCTCCACGTCCTCAGGAAGGGGATAGTGGAGGGTGTTATGAGAGCATTTGGAAACTGGCCTTTTGCCCTCACACTCAGCATAGTCCTTGCAGCTGGAAACAGTCCTGGACACGTTCCTTCATGGCTGTGTGATATTCCATCCCTGGGATGTATAGCACTTTAATTTGCAGTGGAGCTGTGCACCAATGAAGCCTCACCGACTGAACATCACAGCCTAGGTGGCCTACCTTAAGCACTTTACAGCATCCCCACTAATTGGCTCATGGTTGGATAGAATCGCTGCACACTAAGCTTGTCTTTTAACAAACCATCAAATAGCTGGCAAAGATGATTGAGTTCTATATGAGCATGTAAACAGAGTGACCACCTCTGCCTATCATAAAGTCTAAACACTGAGGGAGAAAGCACCATCAGAGGGACCTCTTCTACCTTAATTCTCTTACAGATCAGGATGACGTGAATGCAGAAGGCCCTGGAAGGCAGGCAGCCTGATCAGCCCAGCAGATAGTGGGTATTTGGTGGGGTTTGCCTCCCACATCACTGCCCCAGAAGTTGTCCTCCTGCTGATCCCTGTTCCTAGTCAGGGAACACAGGCACTGGGAGAGAGGCAGAGACAAGAAGGCATGATGAAGGGTCTGACCAGGCTGAAATTCCAAGGGGTGTTGGCTGTGCAGTGGATATGAGGAGCCCAGAAGTGATGGGCCTCCAGGGAGGATACGAGGGATGGGTATGAGAACAGAGCATCACCCAGCCCCAGCTGGCGGGGGGGAGACCATAAAGAGAGAAAACGGTTCAGCAGACATAATCCCCAACACTGTGCTAAGCATAGAACCCAGGGCCTGCTATGCTACTCCCCAGATCCCAGCTAATAGTCTTTATAGGACGATGCTGTCACCAGGTATGACAGGGACCCAAGGTGCTGCTGGTTTCCTGCCTTGGCTCTAGTCCCCAGACGAATCCATGTGCCCAGAGCAGCCATAGTGCTGTAAACTGTCGACTAGCTCATTATGCCCCAGTAGGGCACCCCAATTACCACCATATGAGTCTCTTCTCCATCCCAGGAACTCCTCATGCTCTTGCTTTTTCTAGAAGGTTCCCCCCTTCTACACTGCCCTTCAGATTTGGGTTGGCAATGTTCTTCTTGGAGCCTTTTTCTGCTCCCCCTGGCAGGAACCCCAAGTTCTTCTTTGGGTACCACAACAGCTGGCAAGCATAACTGAAGAGCTAGGCACGGACCCTCGTTTACTAATAGTGCTGTTTACAGAACAGGTTTGCAGACAGGCAGGAAGGCAGCCCCAGCTCCCAGGTACCCCCTCCCTACCGTGGGTGACATGCTCACCACCTCACACTTCAGTGGTACGGCTGCTACCATTGTGAACACATTGGTTAGGTGACATCCAGCTTTTGCAAGGTTCCCTAGAGTTCTGACGTGCCCCCATCACAGTATCATAAGGGACAGTTCATCCCAACGCACTATTTGTTTGTCCTTCCATTCTGTCTCCCCTCTCCTGCCACTGCCCGCTCGTCATTGACTTTGATTTTTAGCATCTCCTAGTTGGTGCCCATCAGAGCAGGGACCCCTATCTTCTTTGCCAATCTTTTAACTTACTTATTTAACTCCCAGTTCAGAGCCTGCCATGTTACATTGCCCTACAAAAATTTTTCCTTGCATATTTTAATAAAAATAAGATGCAAATCAGCAATTTGCCTTTTCCAAATATTGACAATATATCTTGGGAGTCTGTCCATCTCGGGACAAGGCAAGCTTGTGCTCACATGACCTGCCTGCCTCCCCATGCCCCACTAATTTTGTGGGTTTGGCTTGGTTTTCTGGACTCTCTAGCCCTGGCTGGCCTGGAACTTGAGATTCTCCTGCCTCGGTCTCCTGAACCCCAGGGATTGCAGGGGCGTACCATCATGCCCAGTTCTCTTTAACTTTGGGCTGTGAAGAGCTTCCCTCTCTCACCCCCACACACAAAGAGAGCCTCCTGCTCCAGCCACCATCTGAGGTCTTCTTTTTCCTTAGAGTCTCTACTGTGTGGCCTTTTTCTCACCCAAAAGCCACCCTCAACTGTCCCATAACTGCACTTGCAAATATCTCTGGATTTCTCTAGAAGACAGAGACGTTAAGAACCAGTGTGCAGCAGCATCGTGACAACTGATATGCAGTAATATCATAAACACCCTTTGCATCGACAGCCATGTGCCCTCTAGGCACAGTTGGCATTTCTCTGAGCGTGTCTCCACCCAGGCCCAGCAATGTGCGCACTTGGCCCTGGACTGACGAGCCTTTGAAGTCCCTCCAGGGTTCGCTAGGGTCCCCTCCCTCCATAGCAGTCTTCACCCTCTGTCACCCATCTTCTGATGGCCAGATGCACGTCTGCACTGTGTGGCTGCATCCGCAGCCCACACATTCAGTGGCATTCAGCGTGTGGCTCTGTCCTTCGGCGTTTCTGGTCCAGATCTGGTCTGATTCAAGTTCTGCTCCAGCAGCGAACGATCTAGAAAGTTCCCTTCCTTTCTGCGTCATCTGTGTTGTTCTGGGCAGTCATGGCTCAGTGCCTGAAGCCCTCCATTCTTATGGACCCCCACTTCTGCCATGAGCTGCTGCTATGAACAGGACTATGCCCCCTTTGGTGTTAGTTACCCTGAGGTACAGCTGAAGGAAGACAGCAGAACCCGTGCTATTGTTTCCCCTTTATTTACCAGTTTGCACAATGATGAGCTGCCTATGAATATTTGAATAAACGGTGAATAATACATGTGGGTGACCTGGCAGGGCTGAGGAGCTGGGGTTCTTTCTGTCACCCTCAGTGCCTGGGTCTGTAGCCTTCAGCCAGGACTCTGTGAACAGCAGCGGCTGGGGTGTGGCTCGCTGTTGGTCACCTGTTCGCCCACTTCAGTTAAGCGCTAATGTGGGTGTGGATATGGGGTTTAGCGGGCCTAGGGCTTATCTAGTGGGCACCAAAGCCTTGGGTTTAATCTACAGAACACTAAAACAAACTAACAAACAAACAAAAACCCAATGATTGTGGGGCCAGAGAGATGGCTCAGCCTGTCCCCAAACTTGATGACTCAAGTGTCATCCCCAGTCTTCCATCCCCATGCTTACACACACACACACACACACACACACACACACACACACACACAAACACACACACGTTGAATTAATTTAACTTTTAAAAATGGGTGTGCTAGCCAATACCTATATTCCTAGCTCTTGACGTGGCTTTGGCAGGGTCAGAAGTTCAAGGTCTTCTTGGCTACATAGCTAATTAAAGGCCAATTTGAGCTATATGAAATGCTCTTTTAAAAAAAATCTTAAAAAGCCAGGCGGTGGTGGTGCACACCTTTAATCCCCAGCACTCAGGAGGCAGAGGCAGGAGGATCTCTGTGAGTTTGAGGCCAGCCTGGTCTACAGAGGGAGTTCCAGGACAGCCAGGGCTACACAGAGAAACTCTGTCTCAAAAATAATATAATAATAAATATAAATAATATATTAATTAACTAACTAATTAATTAATATAAAAAGGAGTTCAGGTGGTCGAATTGCCGAACCATCTGACATAAGGGAGTCTCTCTCCACCTAAGAACAGAAGTCCAGTAATCCATGCAGGGCAGCCAGAACCAACCTCAGGAGGTCCAGCGCGCCCCTGGCTGGAAAAGGTATCTGACCCATGGGAGTGGGCATCTGCCCTCTTTGTCCTGAAGGAGAGTCTGAGTGTGCAATGATCTCCTGAGTCCCTTCAAGGCATCCGGCACAGTCCTGACCACTCCTGCTCCTGAGTTCTTGCCTTTACCAGAGGCCCAAGTGGCCCGCCCTGGAGCTCACTGACCTCCCCCATCCTCTGGTCTCCTCAGGTGCAAATGCAACCTGCACGCCAACCTGTGCACAGTGCGCGAGGGCAGTCTGCAGTGCGAGTGTGAACACAACACCACGGGCCCCGACTGTGGCAAGTGCAAGAAGAACTTCCGTACACGGGCCTGGCGAGCTGGCTCCTACCTGCCACTGCCCCATGGCTCTCCCAATGCCTGTACGTATGTAGCCAACCCAGTGGCGATCCTCATCCTGTGCCAAAGGACTGTGGCTCATATGTGCACTAGCATGCATGCACACACACTTTCTCTCTCTCTCTCTCTCTCTCTCTCTCTCTCTCTCTCTCTCTCACACACACACACACACACACACACACACACACAAAGGAAGGGGCAGCTGGCGTGGACACACACACATGCTGACCCTCCAGCCGCCCTCCTCCATGTCAGCCCTAGTTGCTGGCAGGCCAACCCCATTGGGCTTCTCAGCATCTTGCCACCCTTCTTCACTCTGAGAGTAGGGTGGGAGACTGTGGAGATTCAGGACAGAGGTACAGGGAATGCCCCCTAAAAATCAGTGGTTATGGGGTGCATGCAGCATATCACATGCTTCTGGCACTGAACCTCCAGCCCCACTGCTGGTGGTCAAGTACTAACCTTCACATCTGGCAGAAGTGTCCTTGGAGACGCTTGTCTGAGCCCCTGTTCAGCCGGTCTTGTCCCCACCTCACTCAGCTATCAAGGGGAGCCACGTGAGAGTTTCCTCACACATGTCTGTATCATGAGCACTCTTTGAGAGATCCTCATGTATGGGGGACCCCAAGAACAGACTTCATGGAATCACAGCTCCCACAAGTCTCTGGGCTGCAAGCAGAGGAGAACCTGAGCTGGCTTCGCAGACCCCTGAAATGCATCAAATGACCTCTTCCACACTGAAGCTGCGCCAGGACCGGTAGCTACACATGGCTTCCCTGAGCCCTTGCAATACCCTGGGAGTGCCATGACTACCCCCCCACCCCCAGATGAGCACCCAAAGGCCCAGTGCCCTCCTGGTTCCACAGCCAGTCCCGGCCAACACGGGACCCAGCGACAAAGCCAGGGTCCACGTGGTTCCCAAACCACATGTCCCATCTGGCACCCTCCCTCACCCCTAAAAGATTCATGTGACTTTATACTGATCAAAGCCGAAGGCTGCAGCAAGGCAGACGGTGACAGGCATGGCGCGCGTGGGCTACAGCCAGCGCTGTGACAAGCCTTTGAAGGGATGACTTGCCAAGCACCGCGAGGCACTCAGGGGTCTTCAAAGGCACAGAGGGGGCTTGGTGGGCTGCTGGCATGCCCCCATCTAGCTCCCTCCTCCTGGGTGCCTCTCCACATCTCCACATCTCCCGCACCTTCCTTTTGTCCTCGCTGCTACCTCTTACCAGTGGGTTTGTCTCCCCCCCATCTCTCCTACAGCCATACCCCACCCCACCACTTCTGTTTGGTTCCTTCCACAGCCTCCCACCTGTCACCTCCACCATCATGGACCAAAACGCCTACCTGCAGAGTACCTAAGAGAGCCACTGCCCCCATGCCCTGCCCACCAGACAAACAGACCCCAGGATCGCTTTTATGTCTTATCTCCTCCCTGCCTTGGGGACCCTCCCCCAACTCACCCCCACTTCCCTCTATCTATCTCCTCTCTGGGACCTCCTCTATAATCACAGGGGCACCCCTCCTATGTGCCCACCTACTTCAAAGCCTTGGGAGTGAACCCCTAAGTTGTCGGTCTCCCCAAATACAAGGCCCCTACCTTTCCCTCCACCATTCCCTATTCCCAAAGCCAAAGTCCTCCACACCCAGTCCCTTGAGACTGGATCATTCCACTGTGCCCCTGTGCCTTCCTCACCCTCAGGACCAAACTCTGAGGTCTCCTGGCCTCTGCACCCCACTGTTAGCACCTAGTCCTTGCCCTCAGCTCCCACACTCCCAAGCTTGTCTATGTCTCAGGCATATGGTACCTGCCGGGTGTGTAGGTAAAGACTGGAATAGGGATCAGAAGAACCACCCAGTGCCCCACCCAGCCCAGTGTCCCCACAAGTCCTCGGAACCACCAAGGAAAAGCTGTGGCTGAGTCCCTCCTTTTGTGACTGTGACAGTTCTGCTCAGGGATGGTGACATCACTAGTTAGTCCAGTCTCAGGTTTCCTTCCCCACCTAGGCACAGAATACTGGGAGATGGTATCCAGCCTCTCACACTGCCGTTCTCCCAGCAGGTCACACCTCTCATCCCCTAGTGATATGGTGTCCATGAGGACATAGTCCTGCCTTAGGGATCCTGAAAGTTGTGGTTAAATAGTAGGGAATGCTTGTCACCGTGTCCCTTCTGAAAAATGGACTAAGTGCAGCCTCGGGACAGTCAGCGGTGAGAACGGTTGTGGGCCCAACAGCTGCCTGTGACTCAGCAGATTCTTGGGCCCTTTAAGTCTCCTTCCCTTTAGTGGGACTGGATGACACCTCTGTGGGCTCCCCTGCCTTGTACAAATGTCCTGTGCCAGGTTACGGTGGCCAGGTCTCGTGTCTAACGCTGTTACCCTCTTGTGCCCCTACAGGTGCTGCTGCAGGCTCCGCCTTTGGCAGTAAGTATGCCACACTTAGTACAAGACTCTGGGGCTGAGCCTTCAGAGTGGACAGGAACGGGCTTCTGTCTCTCCGGGCCTGGCCTGTGTTCCCCCTGCATCTAATCACACCCAACTGCTTCTCCACCTCACCCCAGGTCTCCTAGGAGCTTTCTCGTGCTGCTTTGGAAGAAGGACAGGGCCTTTGTGCATTTGTGGTCCTCTGATCCCTGGGTGGACAGACTTCCATTCTGCCCTTTGTACACAGCCAGGATAAGGTCCTTCTCTATTTGTGGCAGTGTCTGTCCCGAGTTTGGTCATTTGGTACCTCCTCCAGGCCTGCTGGAGGGGACAGGCTCTGATCCCAGACAAACTCTGGATGTCAGGGAATGTCACGCTGGGAAGGGGCATCTGCAAGAGTGCAGGTGTCTTAGAAGCCCCAAGAACGGTGTGGGGGGGGTCTGATGTGGGTACCTGCTGACTCCCATCCTCATGGTGTTCCTAAGTGTTTAGTGGAGCCAGGTGGCTATGCAAAGCAGGGCACTGTAGCATCTTATTTAGACATTGCAAACTCACCTCCTGCCCCAAAAGAAGTCCTTACTCCACAGTCAGTAGGGAAGGGCTTGTCAGTGTTAAACTGTGGCAGACCCCGAGCTTAGTGGATGTCTCCAAGGACTTCACCATCCTCCACTGTGTTTCTGTGGGGACACACCCTGCCTGTCTGTCCTGCCTCAGCCAGGTTGGCCCCTATCCGAGATGCTAGTGGGCAGAGAGAAACTGGACTCTGTAAACATCACTGGTATTTGCCCCCAACATCAGAGTAAGTGAGGACTTCTCTGGGAGGCCCCTACTCCACCCTTTCCTGCTTTCTCCGTGTCTTGCCAGGTACCAGCAGGTCTATCAAAGACTCTGCGTCCAAAGCCCCTATGGCCACTGAGGCCGCAAAGAGGGGTCCTATCACTTCTGTCCCCTCCACGTCTACCATCCAAACCCCTGCAGCCCCCAGCACCCCACAGCCCACAGGTAGGTATTAGAATGCACCCAAGGGTGCTTGCTCTCTCCCTTCTTGCCTCCCTCACCCAGGGAAGAGCAGATGCTTGCTTCTTAGAGTAGAAACTATTAGCAATCTAGTCCCATCGAAGCACTGGCTGAGGGGGTCCCCAGGCCATCTCAGTAAACCATCCCAGCCAGGAGTCCTAGCTAAGGCAACCACTGAGGCTTCCGGAATCTTCTTGTTTCTCCAGATGTTGTAGAGAAGAGCCCAGAGGTCAGTGTAGCCAAGGGGACAGGGGACCTTGTAGGAGGGTGCCCATGGCAGCAAGTCCACTCAGATATTCAGTAAGAGATGGTGCCTTGTCATCCAGACATGCTCTGGAATCCATCCATGGAGCTGGCTCAGGCTCTGTCCCTGCCTGGCCACCTCGTGGGTTCTCCATCCAGCTGCTGGCCAGGGGGAAGAACAGAGCTGGATTAGTGGAGATCAGGGCAGGGGGAGCCTTGAGAGGAAGCAGATTCTTAAACACCCGTGAGCAGAGCTAGGCCCAGACCGACTTCCTGGCTGGCAACAGTGACTACAGGAGCAGCTACACCTGGGGCTATAGCCTTGATGGCTGTTTGCCCTCCCAGAGCAGCACTGGTGCATCCAAGTGGCACGGGATCCCAGTGTGCCCCCCTGGCCTCATCTGGGGAAGGAGTGCCAGGTCTAGCCCACTGCAGATGCTGGGAATCTAAAAAGATTCCTCCTCCCAGAGTGTACCAGCAAGATGGTGGCCAAGTAACTTTTTTTTAGCCCCAGTAACATATCCCTCCCTCCCCTCTTCTTAGAGAAGACATGGACAACTCCTTGTTCCTTGGACTTTTCTTCTCTTTCATCCATTGTCCCTGCCTAGATACTTCTTACCCCTGGCAGGTGACATCTCAGGATGGAAATTCCCCCAGCAGCTGGGGAAGGGATTAGCCCCACACTCTGTCCCGTCTCTGTCTACAGCACAGGGCATCCTTGGCATCCTTGAGAAAGTTACCTTCCCAGGACCACACCACAGCTCTCTCTGAATCCCTCCTCTTTACGGGGACGTGTGCAGAGGGCTGAACCCAGAGATGAAACCTTTCAGAGGAAACTTCCTGCTCCCAGAAACCCCTCTGAGGCAGAGGAATCTGGGTCCTCAGGCCTAGCTGCCTCTGGAGACCTTTGCATTTGGTTGAGCCTGTGATGGACAGTGGGGACCAAAAATAACCAGAAAGGAACGGGGTGCTCTATCTGCCACTGACCAGTAGTTCATGTAGGGTGGGGCTAAGCACTGGCTGCCAGATACTGGGGGACCTTGAACCCACTTGGAAGCTGGGTAGGGCAGACTGAAGTTGGAAGCTAAATATGGGAAGACAGGGAGTCCAGTGAGGTCGCTCTAGGACGGGGTCTGAGTTATGAGTGGCTCCTGGAGCCCAGGGCTGACTGACTGCAGGATTTTGCTAGTGAGTAGCAGGCATGCCCATCCTCCAGGCTGCAACAGCAAACTCCCAGTGAGTGTCAGATCTGCAATTCTGAGCCCTGTGCTGGATGGCTGAGCTTTAAGGGGAGGAAGTGGCTTCAAGGTAACAGTCAGCAGCCTGCACCATCTCATTTAGGACATCCTTAGCTCCTGTGTGACCACTGAAGCCTGGACCCAGAGTCCCCGGGACACTTGGCATACCTTTGGTCTGGATGCCAGTTGCATTCAGGTGTCTGGCTGGCTGCATAGCGTTCTCTTCCTAGTCTCCCTGGAGGAGGGCATTGAGGCTTGGGAAGAAACCACTGCGGCTATGGTATGCAAATTATACCTCAATAAAGCTGGTTAAAAAAAAAATAGAGAAACAGCTTCCCAAGGTCCCAGGAAACACACAGGCCAAGCTGGAACACGGGGCCGATTCCATTCACTCCCTGCCCCCTCTGCCACTTGGGGCTACTGCCCCTGAAGTCCCAAGTGTTTGGAAGTGGTCCAACCTTTAAGACGTAGCTGGCATGGGCTCTCGGTCCCAAAGATCCTCTTCTAATCTTGGCACACAACACAGGACCCCTGAGTGTGTCCCAGAAGAACCAGAGAGAAGCTGTCTCTTCCTGGACCCAGTACCGTCCACAAGGTTCTCAGACCTCTTTGGCTACAGCCCAGCTGGGCCTTGATACCCCAGTCCCAGAAGTTTCTTTCTCCTGCCAATGTCAAGCTGTCTGGAAGGCCCTAATCCTTCCCAGCCTCCTCATGCGGGTGGGGGGAGCCAAGCTCAGAAGCAAGATGCCTTCGGGGTGGATTTACCAGGGTTCTTAATTAAGCCCTTGCCAATTTGGGTCCTGTGGCCTTGTCTCTTCACTGAATACCATATTAATGTCAATTTGATGTCCAAAGACTCCAGGCTCCCAGCTGGGAATCTCCTGCCGTTTTTAACTGGTAGAATTTCTTTTTCTTTCTCCATCAGCCACCATGGTAATCCTTTTCCAAAAGGGAAGGCATCAGCTCCTCCCTGATGCCCCCCAACACACACACACACACACACACACACACACACAACCTTCTCCCAGTTCTGTCCTTTGAATTTGTCAGTGATTGCCGACTATGTTCCTTGCTTTGTGTGCAGCTCTGGGGACTGAAGGTGGGGATGGAGTTGGTGAGCCATGATGAGGTCCCTGATCCTCAGTCCAAGGATCAGAGGGCAGAAGGGCAGTGATCAGAAAGGCGAGTTAGCCATCGGAGGACACTCTGGGGAACCTTCTAGAACCTTCCTCAACATGTCTTGCCTCCTTAGCCAGGACATTGTCGGCCAGCACTGCACTAGCCTAAGGTTTCGCACACAGTATTTGTTCAGATTGGCCCTTAGGTTGTAAAGGAAACCATACAAAGAGAGAAGAGTCCTTGCAGGCAGTGTCCCAGCAAAGGAAGGACTGTCCCCAGCCCACAGGGCCTCAGGCCTGGGGGCCTCCTCTCATCAGGCTTCAAGTGTGCGTGTGCATCTCCTCCGCAGGCTGCAGTAGCATAGAAGCTGCCTCTGTAGCCGAAATGGAGCCGGTCCTTTGTCCCATGGTGTAGTGTCACTTCTTACAGGGGCTTCTGGGAGGGTGGGGGCACCATCCCTCACATGACTTGATTTCTTCTCTTCTTCCTCCCAAGGGCAGACCAAGCCACCTACTGTTGCCCCCCTTGGTGATAGCTCCCTCTGGCCCCAGGTGTCCACCAGTGTACAAGGTATGGGGGCATGCTAGGTCTGAGACCCTGGAAGCTCCATCTTAGACCCTCGGGCCCCCTTCCTCTGTAGAAGGGGTGCCAGGCTTATATGGTGGGCCTGGGTAGGAGGGCCCAAGAACTGAAAGTAGTGGGAGAGAGAACTCAAGAGTTAAAGCAAGGAGGAAAAGGACCTGGCGGCCACCCTCACCTCCAACTCCCAGCCCTGCCCCTATTGGAAGCCAGTAGTGATATTGCTAAACCTTCTCCAAGGGCTTCAGAGTCTGGAGAAGGAACCACTCCTCTCCCTCCTCACGATGTGTGTCCCAGGATACCTGGGAAGCCAACAGGGCTCAGAATAGGGGTAACTATGAATAAATAAAGGTGGCAGGATAGGCCTGGTGCAAAGACAGCCTAACAGTGGACAATAGCAGTTACATGAGGTTGTGAACTATGTAGAAACCCCCCAGGACCAGGTCAAGAGCACTATTTTCCCACTGTGGGGGAACACCCAAGAGAGGGGACTCATCTCTAGTCATATATGGATGCTCATGGGCTAGCTTGTCTCTTCAAGAAGGAAGGTTGTCCTCAGTTGTCCCCAGATAACCTATTGTCGGCCCTATTGTCCTTGCCCTATCCAAACACCTCAAGTGCCCCTCCAGCCCAGGGATGAATGAGCCAGGCTTTGAGCGCCCTCTGCTGACAGTTTCTTGTACAAATCGGGCGCATCGGCGCTTTAGCTTCTTACATCCTAGAGGTCCGTCCCTCAATCAACAATCCTCTCTGGCGATGAATACACTAGTCAGCTCCTGCTCTGGCCCCACTAAAGGACCAGAAAGTCCTAGAAGGAGGTACAGAGGCTGATTTCTCCATGATAGTAAAATGCTCACCTCTAAGAATGGGTTTGGGCACTGGTGGGATTCCAGGCAGGGAAAGGCTGCCTGCATTCTTGACTAAATTACACTTGTAAGTCACACCCAACGACAGTAAAGGACCCGCCGTAGCTGGTACAGAAAGAAGTCCTCAGAGGAAAGATGGTGCAGTCTTAAAACTATTTAGGAATAGTTGTGTGTGTATATAAATGTTCTGCCTGCATGTAATTATGCGCACTGCATGTGTGCCTGGTGCCCATGGAGGTCAGAAGAGGGTGTGAACACTCTCGAACTCTGGAACTGGAGTTACAGAGGGTTATGAGCTGACACATGGGTGCTGGGAACTGATCCATGTTCTCTACCAGAGCAACAAGTGCTCTTAACCACTGAGTCATTTCTCCCGCCTCAAGATGCAGTGTTTAATGCCAGGTTTAGACTCAGAATTTGATGACCAGGGGAGTTCTGGGGACAGAGGGAGAGAGCAGAAGGGCAGTGACATTTGCTTTCGATCGTCCAAATATCTCTCAGTGTTTGCAAATGCCTTAGGTTAGGGGGTTCGGAGAGGGAGAAAGTGTTTGGGGATTGGTCCATCAGATGGGTAGGTGTCCTCGTGGGACCAGAGGCTGTGGGGATGCACTCATCGCTACAAGGTACTTCAACCTGGAACTCCATACCTGGGAATCTCACTCCACACCCGAGGGCCATGTGGTCTCTCCCTGCCTCAAATGTGAAAAGTTGATAGGGTTGCCTGGCGCCAGCCTGAGACACTCAGAAGTCTTGGTCTAGCTTCTCCATGGTTACAAATGGCTTGCCCTGGAGGATGGACCATGGCAGGTGTAAGCACTTGTTTCTCGTTTCTCTAAGCTGTGCCTAGCTCGGCTGCTGTCCCCTCCCAAGTCAAGGGCTCTACACTTTTCCAGCTCAAGCCCAGATCTCCTCAAGTGATACCCATTGAAGAATTTCAAGGTAAGATGACCCGGGCCGTGCCTCTAGCCTCTTCCCCAGATCACTGGACAAAAACAAGGCAAGACAGAGCTAGCCGGTGCCAATGCAGAGAACCCTCCCAGAATAGCTGGGTCAAGGTTAAGCAGCGTCTCTCTGGCCCCAAGGGAGCTGAAAGCAGGGATGAGTCAGAAACCAACCCTGGTACAGTGGGCAGGCACATGGCAGGAGAAGCAGCTGCCACAAATAGCCTGACCTGGCTCCCCTGGGAGGTGTGGCCCAGGGGCTTGTCTTGGTTGGAGTGGAATCTGGGACACTTGGGTCACTGGCAATGCTCTTTGGGGGCATCTGGAGGATGCTTTACCTCCTCGGTGTCTCTGGAGGACCCAGGTCAGGAACAGGTCAGGCAGACCCATGGGTGGGCCCACCAGTTCCTCTAGATGTATCTCAAAGGCATTTCTCCAGGGTCTCCTGTGACTTTGATCCTATGGAGACCAGATCAGCACCACCCTGAGTATCACAAGAGAGGGGGAGCGCCAGGCAGTGGTGGCGCACGCCTTTAATCCCAGCACTAGGGAGGCAGAATCAGGTGGATCTTTGTGAGTTTGAGGGCCAGCCTAATCTACAGAGCTAGTTCCAGGATAGCCAGGACCATGGAGAAACCCTGTCTCCGGAAAAGGAAAAGAACGGCGTGTGGTAGGCTGGAGATGTGGCTTGGTCAGCAGTGCACTTGCCTGGCACACAGGAATAGACCCTGGGCTGGAGCTGCAGCAAGGCACTCACTGGGTGTGGAGCAACCCCAGGAGGTGGTGGTAGGAAGGTCGGAAGTTCAAGGTCATCCTTAGCAACAGCCGGAGTCCAAGTCAGGTTGAGCTACCTAAGACCCAGTCTCAAAACAACAAAACCAAAAACACTTGTGGAAGGGATTGTGCATGGCCCCACAATGGCTCAGAGGGAGCTTTCCTTGGTTTGAACTATGCGTGAGATTCAAAAGCTGGACTGGGGCCAGAGAAAGTCAGGTGATGATTCCCAGAGTCTTGCTGAAACTAGCCATACAGAGCCGATCAAGCTTGTGGGGAATTCTGGCTAGTAAGGGGTCCCGCAGGACTTGCAGGGACAGGGACAGCGGTCAGTTTCTCTCTTCCAAAGCAGCATGGAAGGAAGGTTTTCTATCCCGTTCCATCACGTCCCCATTTGTGCATGACTCTGTTCATCCATAGGCCCCTGAGGGGACCATGGCAAACATGGATCCCTGACTCTGCCCTCTGCAAACGCGGCCTGCAGCACGACCCCACCTACCTTGCATGAATCAACTGCTAATCAGGTCACGGGTCAGACAGCAGTCTGCTCTGACGCTGGTCAGGTGTTAGCATGCCCTGGCCTCCATGACTCCCTACCCACGGGCCTCCCGGGGACTCAAAGCTAGCAGAGTCAGCTTCATCATATCCTGATCTGGGGCCTCTTTCCGATCCTTCTCCCAAAGATGCCTCTACCCACCTTCCCTGTGTATTCTTGGGTATGTCCTTCTCTGTATGCCTCAGTTTCCCCCAAATGCTCACTGACCACTGGTGTTTCTCCCACTTGGCTGGTCCAGACTGTGAGTGCTACGGCCATTCCAACCGCTGCAGCTACATCGACTTCCTGAACGTGGTGACCTGCGTCAGCTGCAAACACAACACTCGAGGCCAGCACTGTCAGCATTGCCGCCTAGGCTACTACCGCAACGGCTCTGCGGAGCTGGACGATGAGAATGTCTGCATTGGTAAGTGGCAGTGGCAGGGATGGGTCTCAGGACCCCTGGGGAGGAACCACCTGGGGAGATCCAGACCCTCCAGAGTGAGGCCCTCCTCATCTGAGCACCTCGAGGGGACCAAAGCCCTTTGATCTGCTGCTGTGACTGTGGGCGCTGGAAACAAACACGGGCACTAGTTAGAATCAAAGGCTTGTGCACATTTGCCATCCCCTGTCCTCTCTGGGCGCCCCAGAAAGTTGGGGGGTGGGCTAGCCAAATGGTTTATATCTCTCCTACTATTGAAACTGCCCTTCAAATTTTCAGAGCCAGCCTTGCAAAGCTGGGCCTGCCGTCGTAGGTGCCCACTCTTCCGTGTTCTGTCCCAGCACTGGCTTTTCAGTAGAGAAGTCCTAAGGTGCTCCTTGGGCCTGGACAGGGGACAGACCCTAAAAGGCAAACCCATAGCCCCCAAATGACACCCAGTAGCATAGAAGGGCAGTCGGGATTGCCTATTTCCTGTTTCCTGCAGGCCTGTTTCCAGCAGGGGCCAGGTCTCAGGCTATGAGCTGCCCGGATCCTAACCAGCAGCCAGCAGGACCACTGCCCATCCCCCACCAGCAGCACCACCTGGCCTGCTCAGCTGCGAAGCTGGAGCTGTCACTCCGGATCAAGGCTGAGGCCTGCAGATAATTCCATCAGCTCTAAAGTGATCAAACAGAATTGTGTTGCCAGTGTCACACAGGGCCAGCAGCAGGGACAGGGCAAGGCCTCTGATCTGATTAGAGGTGCCCCCTTTTTCTTGTCTGTCTGTGCCTCCATCTCAGGCCAAGCACTGGGCTTCAAGAACTAGGGGTCAGGGACACACACACTCTACACGCAGTCACGCGTACACACACATACTCCCCTCCCCCCAAACCAGCTAGGGCAGGCAGTGAGCAGAGGTAAGCCTCTGGCTGCTCTTCCTCCTCCAGCCTTGGGGGGGGGGGGGGCGGGGGCATTCAGCCCCCTTCAGCTGTCCAGAGAGGGAGATGGGACTGACTGAGGCCTCACAGTGGGACGAGGAAAAGTGTGTTGGAGGCCAGCAGAGGAAAAACTATAGAGCCTTCTCTAACCATGTGGATGCCCCAACTGTCCCCACTGCGGCCCAGCCATGAGCTCTCTTGTGGGGAGCATGGCCAGGGAGCACAGAGACCGAGCTAACAGAGATATAAACAAGAGCTATTGGGCCTGGGGCAGAACCTATTTGAACGCTGCCCTTCCGACTGCACGTGCCCTTGCTCCTCCTCAGAATGTAACTGCAACCAGATCGGCTCTGTGCATGACCGGTGCAACGAGACAGGCTTCTGCGAGTGCCGGGAGGGCGCGGTGGGGCCCAAGTGCGATGATTGCCTTCCCACGCACTACTGGCGCCAGGGATGCTACCGTGAGTAGACCATTCCCTGACAGTGGAGCCTTCAGGCTGGAGGACTAATCCAGAATGGTGGGAGGGGGTCTAAATGGGTCTGCTGCGGGCTGGGGTGGGCTATTGTAGCAAGCAGTTGCAGCAAGAAGGGTGTGATGAAGGAGTTCAAAGTGGGTGGGTGGGGCTCAAGTGGGTATTGTCAGGTCTTCAGTGGGTGGGGAGTCCATGGCAAGGAGGGGGAGCTGGGGGTTGAAGGGGAGCTGACTGGAGTTGGCTGAGTTGGTTGCTCTAAAGAAATGAAGGGTTGGGGGAGACCCAAGGGACATAGCCTGGTAGAGCGCTCCAGGTACCCGCAGCAGAGTAGGAAAAGCTCTGGAGGCAGACAGCAGGTGCTCTTGGGGAGCCGCACCGCTGCCGGGGAGGAACTGAGCTAACAGGCGGTGGACAGGCAGGGGCCGGGTCCCACCAAGCAGGGTGTGCGTCCAAGGCATCGAGAGCTCCACCCGGGGGGCGGGGGTTCCCAGAGCCCCATTGCAGAAGCTCAGTCCCTCCTCTCAGCTCCTCAACTGTCCCCTCCGGCCCGCAGCCAACGTGTGCGACGACGACCAGCTGCTCTGCCAAAACGGCGGCACCTGCGTGCAGAACCAGCGCTGCACCTGCCCGCGAGGCTACACCGGCGTACGCTGCGAGCAGCCTCACTGCGACCTCGCTGACGACGGTGGCCCGGACTGTGATCGCGTGCCAGGCACCGCCCCGCGCCCAGACACCCTGCTCGGATGCCTGCTGCTGCTCGGGCTCGCCGCCCGCCTGGGCTGCTGAGTCCGCTCTAGGGGTCCGGGAGTCCCGGGCCCGAAGGCGACACGGGTGCGGCCGAGCTGCTCCCAGGTGCTACTCGCAGAGTCCTCCAGCCCTCCCTGCTCCGCCCACGCTCACCCGCCCCTTCCGACACTGTCCTCACCGCCCACAGGGGGCGCTGTGGAGCCCTGGCCCGGCGGGCTGCGATTTTCAGATTTTTTTTTTTAATGACCCAACGTCCCTATATTTTTCCTTTTTCCTTTGTTTCTTTGCTTTCTTCTTCTCCTCATTCTTCCTCCCCCCCCCTCCCTTTTGCTGGCGGTGAGACAGGGACTGGGGAGAAACGCTGCTCATCCCAACACCCGCAGGTCCTGCCACACACACACACACACACACACACACAAACACACATACACACAAACACCTCTTCCGCACACCCCAGCGCCTGTTTCTGGCTGGCTCCACCAGCCAGCAGACCCGGAACTCCAGTTGCCTACAACTCTAGTCGCTGACTTGATTCTCTTTTGTATCTTTTTTCTTTCTTTCTTTTTCTTCTCTCTCTCTTTTTTTTTTGCACACACCAGACCCCAGGCCCCCAAGGAGGCCTGGAGACAGAGGAACTCACTGTCTGAGGGATGGGTGGGACAAAGGGTGGAGCAGAAACCTTGTTTTCTAGAGAACTATTTTGTTTGTATTCATGGTCCTTGTGAGGAGGGACTTGGGTAGGAGCTGGTCACCGAGGGTGGCTGATGGCTGCAAGCCCACAGTAAAAGGAGTTCACAGCTGCCTCTGCCCTCTTGCTTTCTGTAATGATAGACACTCCCGGAGGTCTGGATAAAGAGGGGAACCCACAAAAAAGCCTTAAAGAAACAGTTCCGTACTGGGAGCGCTCTTTCTCAATCTGTCCTCTCCAGGTCCTCCCCCCACCCTGGTGTTTCACCTTTGGCCAGGCTGCTGGCCACCACCTGATAGGTATTTTTCCAAACAGAGGTGCCCCCTTTTCCTACAGCTCCTTCCAAATTCTGAGCACCTGCTATGGAAGCCCCAGGAAGATAATTCAGGGAGCATTCTCTAGGCTGAACCCCATGCTAATTTATAACTCTCTTCTGTGACCCCCTGGGATAAACGTGTTGTTTCAGCCCTGCTGGCTTTGGAGTCTTAGGTCCAATGTGAGGTTACACAGAACTCCCAGGCTGCAGGCCACTGAGTCCCAAGGTAGGCACTCCTTGCTTGCTTAGGTGCTTGGGATATGAGGACCCAAAAGGTCACAGCAGTTGGCCCACCTGGGCGTTTCCCTCCTCTGCTTGCCCTGGAGGTCAGATTCCCCTCCCATTTATCTCTGCACATCTCTTTTTAAAAAATATATATATATTATTATGTATATAGTATTCTGTCTGTGTGTATGCCTGCAGGCCAGAAGAAGACACCAGACCTCATTACAGATGGTTGTGAGCCACCATGTGGTTGCTGGGAATTGAACTCAGGATCTTTGGAAGAGCAGGCAATGCTCTTACCCGCTGAGCCATCTCTCCAGCCCCTCTGCACATCTCTTATTCCCTCGTCCTGGTTCCTAATTGCCCCACTGCTCCCACAAGTGTCCCCTCCTTGTTATCGGCCAGCTGTTCTCTGTAGGCCATCCTGTCCCCAGGCCTTCGCTCAAGTCTGAAGCAAAGCTAAGACAATGTGCTAAACATAACTGGTATGATTTACCAGAGTAAAGACAGAGAATGGAACGTTGGTTGGCTGAGGCCAAATGCCGCCCCCTACTGATCACTCTTTGCTCTGATCCCCTGCACCAGCAGGAGTCCGCTCAAACCTCTAATGGGGGGCTTCTGTCAGGTCCCTGGCTCCATCTACAGAACCCCAATATGCCCGGGGAAAACATCTCTGGTTATCCTTGTAGATGAGAAAGGCCATATGACACAGCTCTATGAAATATATAAAGCAAAAATGACAGACAGGACTTGCAGAAAGTTTCTAAAAGTCACCCCCACTACCCCCGCCACATTGGGCCCCAGCCCCTTTTCTGCCTCTCTCCCCAGTGCTCTGTCTGCAGGGTGGAGGCAGGAGTCATCTGGCTGAGCATGTAAACCCCCCTCCAACATGGTGGAGCAAAAGCAGAAATTGCCTCTGTGAAGACCCAGCCAGGCTATGATGTCCCAAACTTCTGAAAGTGGTGGAACGAAGAAACATCCATGGGAGGGAAGCTGTGGGAACTGCCGTTGGCTGAGCATGTAAACCCCCCTCCAACATGGTGGAGCAAAAGCAGAAATTGCCTCTGTGAAGACCCAGCCAGGCTATGATGTCCCAAACTTCTGAAAGTGGGGGAACGAAGAAACATCCATGGGAGGGAAGCTGTGGGAACTGCCGTTTCTGTTTCAGGCAGAATTGCCAGTTCCTAAGCCCCTGGCCTCCTGGCTCGACATCTAGGCATCTAAAGTGCACTGAATTCAGAGAAAAAACAAGACACCTAGTTCACCACACAATCAGGATCCAAGGCTAGGACACCACCTCTCCCCAGAGCAGGGCCAGCCTCCACCTTCAGTACGGAGCAGAGAGTGAGTTGCTGCAATCCCGCCTTCCTGCAAGGGGACTGGAATGCCTGAATGTGAAAGAGGTTGCAGCAGCTTTTAGAACCACAACGACCTAGGGTCCCGCCCTGGAAGCAGAGTGAGGCGAACAAGTGCAGTCTGGCCTCGAGATCCTCCTACCTCTGCCTCCCACATGCTGGGATTAAAGGCCTGCGCCACCACCGCCCAGCAACACCTACCCCTTTCTTTACACCACCCGGGAGTGTCCCAGGACACTGGGGGGGGGGGGCTGAGAGGAGACGGGAACCCACTCTGTCCTTCCTGAGCTCTCAGCTCGCCTGCTGTGTCAGCATCCCTGGGACCAGCCAGTCTCCTCCAGAGCGAAGGGCTGCTGCCGTGCATTGTAAATCAGACTGGCAGCCCCAATCCCTAAGGACCACTCAGGCCCTGACCTCGGCTGCAGGATAGAAGGAATGTTGCCAGTAGCCATTTGGAGAACTCTGACATCTTCCAGATCACGGAACGAAGGAGAAAACAAGGTCACCCAGGCCAGAAGTCACAGCCCAGGCTTTTTATGTCCGGTTCCCAAGGCACAGGGGAGGAAAGCACCCTTTGGCCCAGCTAGGCTCATAGCAGCACCCACCTGAGGCACCATGCAGTGTTAGGATGTTAGCCCTGCCCTTAATCCCTCCGTTATCCCAGGATCAGGCTTCCATCTTGGCTCTGACAACCCTGCAGGCTGTGCAGCTCTTAGTGGCAGAGGTGAGGAGCCCTTAGCATCAGGGCTCTGAGGATGAAGCCAGCAGTGCCCCTACCCCAAGCAGGGACATCTACAGGTGTCTCAGCAGTGCCCAAGTGGAGGCAGAATCGCCCTAGTCTGAGAATCACTGTGTCAGCAGGAATGGATGGTTCATTTTAGAGAAGGTTAAGTACAGGCTAAGAGGAAGAAAGTGACCGGCCTGAAATCACGACTGCTAAGGGATGGGTGAGATTGCTCCTAAGCACTGCCTGCCTCTGCAGGTCTCTGTACCCCCATTGGCTCCTCTGCCCTCCTCCCTCTTCTACCCTGTGTGGGGATCCCTGGGGAGCATGGGGAGTGCACCCCTCACACAAAGGCTGCCCTGGCCCTGCCCTCTAGATAAAGAGAACTGCTGCCTTGGCAATCTTGCCTCCAACCATGCTTCATAGTTACGAGGCATTTATGGGCGCCTGGGGAGCAGCTCACATCTCTTGCAGGTCTGGGAGGAATTGGGGTGAATCTGGCTGGTCTCCCCCAGTGTGAGGCACCTAGCCTTTCCTAGCTCATCTTAGGTGGGAATCGTTAAAGGAATGAACCCTGATAAGAAACACTGGTTTATTTTTCTTTTAGAAAGCACACACTGCAATTTATAGGCAAGCTAGAAACGATGAAAAAGCTAACAGAATACATGTGCATTTTGAGACAGTCTTGCTTTGAGATTCCTAATCCTCCTGCCTCCTCGGCCTCCTCTGTGCCAGGACAATGAGCATATTAAGTTAAAATTACCCACAAGCCTCCATCCAGAGCTAATAACTGTCAATGTTTTTGATAGCTCTTTCTAGTATTTTCTATAACAAGTGCCCCCACGGAATTATTGTTTTCCTTCTAATCCCACAGGATGCCGGGATAGCAAAGGAACCGTCCATCTTTTTTGTGTATGCTGGTTCAGGTCCACACTTTGTGACGGTGCTGTCCCCACCGAGCCTTTACTTTTGAGATCTCTCACTGGACCTGTAGCTCACCAATCAGCTAGTCAGGCTGTCCAGCAAGCTCCAGGGACCTGCCCCCGTCTTCCCGTGCTGTTTACGGGGGGGGGGGGGGAGGACGGACCACTGCACCCAGCTTCTTACATGGGTGCAGGGATGCAGGTCCTCATGTTGACTGGACTGTCTCCCCGGCCCTCTGAAGGCCTGAGAAAGGCTAGCACAGACTTTTCATCTCGCCCCTGGCCCCTTTCCTCTTCCCTCTCAGCCTCAGCTGGTGGCAGAGGGACTCCAGCCCCCAATAGGGAGTTGCTGCTGTTTCTCTGTGAGAAAAGGGTCTGGCCAGAAACCCCGCCCCACCGCTGGCTGTGTTTCTGGTGGCAATGGAGAATGGCCGTCCTGGAAGGGCAGGCCCTAGGCAGGTGGCTACAGGCTGCCAGCTGGTTTCTAACCTTAGCCGAACAAGCAGGTGGCCCTTGGGACACAGCCAGGAGCTGAGATGGGCACTTTCCATAGCTGACCAGTGAATACATGGCTGGCCAAGAACAGGGTGGCCACAAAGGTAGAGGAGATGGCAGCCCAGACAGGCCAAGGGCCTGGAGCTTGCCACCTGGATCTGAAGTTGGCCTTGGCAGCTACATTTTGTGTGACTTTTGAGTGTCGCACTCTGGTATCTTGTCTTCTCATCCGTGAAAAGGGACAGTGGCAACAGTCCTGTTCTCCAGGGGCTATCTAGGAGGAAGTGCACACTGGTGGGGTTGAGAACACGCCTGGCAGAAAGCCAGCCAGTCTACTGTTTTATGGTTACCCATCCTGTCACACCTCCACACCCGCCATGTGACACAGCCTCCCTCCTGCTCTCCCTCCCTCCCTTTTCTCCTCTTCTCATATACCAGTGTGCCAGGCTCCAGGCACAAAGCACAAGCATCCTTGGGGGCAGATATGGCCCAGCCCTTCCACTTGCCCTATTCCTTCCCGTATGCAGGCATCCGCCCAGTCTTCATGCTCCCAAGACCAGAAAGGCATTGCAGACCTCCGTGCCCAAGGGACTCCCCTGCTCCTGGGCTGTCCTGCATGAAGAAGCTCAGTCAGCATCCCTAGGCCAGGGACCTCTCTGCTTACTTCTTCATGGCTGGCCTGGAACTCATAGCAAGCCCCCTTCCCCAGGCTTGCGCACGTGAGGCTTGTTCTTTCTGGTTGCTCTCCTGCACATGTTGTATAGATGGGCTTGGAACTAGGTAGGGAAAACTGGCAGGACTGTAGAGGTGTGGATGGGACAGTGAGTGACCAGGAATTGGAGGTCCGAGGCTAAAAATTCCCAGTGGCTTTTGTGGAAGGCACTGACAGTCATGTGACTGTCCTGGGATTCCAAGTCCAGGGAAGCCCTCTGCATCGCCTACTCTCCAGGCTGACCTCTCTTGCTCAGCAGCATTCCCTGCCCCTCATCCCTTCAAGGTTCTGCTTGATCCAAAATCCCCCAAGAGGTGTGGAGAGGTCGTAGGGAAGGTCATGAGGGCCAGACA